TTGGGGACCACTGTTGTAGGCTAATGTTGCTGAGAGGCAGAGCCAAGAGATGTGTAAAAGAGGCGGAGTCAGAGAGTGAGTCAGTCAGTCAGTCAGAGGCAGAGTGAGAGAGTGGAGGAGATAGATTGTGGTATTTGGGAGATATGAGGTGTGATTAGAGTGAAAAGTGAATAAGAACTGTAATGATAAATAGAAGGGTGAGATTGATGATAATAGAAGTTACCTATGATTAATATTTGGACATCTGTAATCAATAAAAACATTTTATTTAAAAGACAGTGAAGTTTGGATCTGCATCTTCATCCTTCCATAATTAAAGTTGATTTAGTGATCAACTGGTGGCAGCGGGGTAAAAAGGAGTACTGTAGTAGTTTGCCTTCGTGTGCTCTGTGTTTGGAAGGGAAGCAAAGGGAAATGAGGGTGAATGCCACAGTGCCTCTCTAGATATTGCTGAGCTGCACCTCCCATGAAGCTTTGCTAGCATAGTCAAGGATGGAAATCCAACATCTGGAGAGCTGCATGTTCTTTATTCATCTTCTCTCGCTAGCATCTTTCGTTGGCCAGTGGTGTGTTCTTATCATAGAATATGAAAGACACATGTGGCATGCTTTGATTTATCACCTGGGTGAAGCTCTAAGACATGATTTGTAACCACTTATGTTACTTGAAAATGCCACCTTTTTTTGAAAAAGTAAAAGTAATGTTTAATGTCTCATGAATGAGTAGCCCTAAACATAGCAATGTTTACAATCTTTGATATTGCAGAATTTGACATTTTTGTTTTCTATTATAATTTTATTTAATTAGCAGTGCACTACTGAAATAACAATTCACTTTGAAGTTTTATTCTTTATTTCTGGGAATCAATATTTTTTCTGTTTTGTTGTCATTTCTGTAACGGAAATGGAAACAAAGCAAAAGTCAAGTACAGTACTTAGGCTAGATCTTGTTACCATGCTATAGGCTGAGGAATAGTCAGCTGTATGCACAGTTCTGCCCTAGCCAGCACTCATGCAAGGGGAAATCTAGCAACTCCTTGTGAGAGAAGAAAGACACATTTAAAGCAGTTGGTTGAATGCTGGCTTTTATAACTTTCAAGCCACAGATCAGCAGTGCTCCACCCGCAAGGCTACTATGCTCCATAAAAAGCAATAGGATACCAGCTTCTTTGTTTGGGATTATTTGTGAGCTGAGGAAGGAAACATTTTATGTCTTCTGTGGGATGTTTGTATGATGAGCTTCAGAAGTTAAGCAAAGGTGGATCGAGAACACATGTTTAGTATTGAATTCAGTATTGGGAGTTAAATATATAAGGCTAAATCCACTTGAACCAATTATATATATAATTGCTCATTTCACAAAACCCATTCATTCAACGAGTCTACTCGAGCTAGGGTCAACAATAGGGTTTAGTCCATCGTAGTTACTAGAATGTTATTGCTTTGCAACTGTGGATATGTTAGGAGCTCTTAACAATGTATATTATGCTACTGTGTATATCAAAACCTTTTTGTTTTCCATGCTCACTGTGAAGGAACTAGAAAAAACAGGATCATCATTAATCTTTTGTTTCCGCCACCTACTTCTGTGAGCTGATCAGGTCATGGTACTGAGATAATGTCAGCTGAAAGGAGCATGTGTACAAAAATGCAGTCAACAAGTAACAAAAATGCAGTTAACAAGTAACAAAAAGATCCCAGTTATGTGTTAAAAAATAAACTAGGAGTGTTTGGCAGTTGTGCCCCCACAACTTTTTACATCTCAGATTTCTGGGGAAAGCAACTTGCTTTGTCATTCTGACACATTGTTTAACTACAGATTTAAAAATGAAAAGCTAAATTAAAAATAAAAAGCTGTATTTTGCTAAAAATGTGAGCAAAAATAGAGACAATATATATGTGCCATGTCCCATTTTTAAAATGTATATGCATACACACAGAGATGTACTGTCATACATACCCTTAATATCTCCCATCAAGTTGGAACCAACTTATAGCACCCTAATGTAGCTTTCAAACTGAGTTAAATAAGAAGTGGTTTTACCTGTTCCACACCCTCAAATATCTTTCATGGATGAACTGGGATTTAAACCGAAGTCTTAATCTGTCACTCTGGTAAAAATTGATTAAAATTACTTTTTAATGAGAGCAGCCAATTGCTTAATTATAACAGCCTTAGAAGCATTTAATACAATATATTGCAGAAGGTTCTTTCTAAAATATCTAGCATGTTTACAGGTTTCTGTTTTCGTATAAAGCTATTTACAGATGCTTGGGTCTTTAAAATAGACTTTTGTAACTTAAGAAAGGTGCTATAGACTTCAGTTGATCATAGTTCACAATTTTAGTTGGCTGCCTGCCTGTACTGTTACATACTTATCCTACTTACTTATGAAGGTATGCCAGGGTTCAGCCTGATTTATTTTTAGCTTGTATCCTTGGCATCATTTGAAAAGAAGCATGTGTATATTTAAAGCAAACAGCATCAGGAAAACAGGGAGGTGATGGACAAAAATGAAAGTGGCAAAATGATCTCCAGTGGAATTACAAAAGAAAACTGAGTCTACTTTATTTACAAAATGGAATGTTTTAGTATAATGATGCAGAAGTTTTGGTAGAAAATCAAATCAACTTTAATCACTGGAGCAATATTTCTCTTCTTAATGGTACAGAAAAGAGTGTTACTGTATTTAAGGCACTACCTTAGATAGTTGGCAGATATTATGTTAGTTTGTGCATTTATATTTGGATTTCTGTCATGCAGGTTATTACCTGAAACAGTGATAAATCTGTAATAAGACACAGTTCAAATAAATGGGTTTGAAGATAATCTTCCTGTAACTGCGTGAGATCCGAGATGAGAGCATAGAGGCTCTCGTTGGAGTGCTGTCCACTCTTAAGTTTACTCAGGAGATTCAAACTATCCCACTTCCACCACCCATTGGGGAATTGTTGAGAATTATGGTCGCTACTCAAACTGAGCAGGAATTGGCAGGAAAAGAAGAGAAGGGGAGGTCCATGGTAGAGGCAGGAATGGGAGAGATAAAAGGAGAGAAAGATCCAATCACAGGAGGTTGGGAGCTCATCTGGCTGGAAGATCCTTGGACGGGCAGATGGGAAAAGGTGAAGGTACCCCACAAGGAGGCAGATTACCATAGGAGGCAAGGATTACCCCAAAGACCATCATATTGGGGTGAGTCTGAAGCCCGTGAGTGGTGGTGACGCCTAAGAGAGGAAAAGGAGGAAGCAGAGGAACGTCGGGTATGGTGTATGGAGGAGGAAGTCCAGAGGAGGGAGTACCTTTGGGACCATGGACACCCTTTAAGAGAGAAAGGGAACCCCATTGGAGAGAGACCCGAGACGAGGAGACCCTGCCGTTATTAGGAACTGAAGAAAAGGAACTCCTAAAAGGGGAAGGTGACCTCTTCTTGCATGGAACGTGGGAGAACAAATCCTTGAACCCTTTTGAGCCAGATGTTTGGTTGCCCTTGCATTGTCCGTTGGCGACTCAAGAGAAGTTACATGGTGAATAGTTGAATGAAGAATTAAGGTTAAATGAATCAATAAATCCAAGTTTTGATGTAAACTTAAAAATGCCTCCTGCTTTATTTGGAAAAGAGAAGGAGGCTCTGTATGAACCCTCACAAAATGAAGGAACAAATATGTGTAAATCATATCTCACAAATATCCCTGTTATGTGAGTCTGTTAATTCAGAAGAAAAGAGAGAGAGAGTAGTTCATTCAGCCCTGTTTGTGTGGCTGTTCTTTATATGGAGTTCAAATGTCATGCATTAAGTGATGAGGGGGTGGTGTGGATGTCCAGCTGCTGCACCTGTGAAAAGAGGATCTTTGGCAAAATAAACTACATTTGCCTTGGGACAACTGTGCTTCTAAGTAGTTAGAGCTTCTTGTGAGGGAACTATGAAACTGATGCAGACTTCTGAGTGCTTATCTTGTCCCTTCCCATATGTGTATTCTTCACTTTTTCTTCTGTTGAATGGTACAAATACTGCTTCTAGTTCTCAGGTCTGCTCAGATTATCTGTTAGCGGAGCTGACAGAAAAAAGTATAGAATAAATATGTACAGTCAGGATGGCTTTAAGCAGCAAATTGTAAAGAATACATAATTCACGGAGTTTGTACCACAAAGACCCATGCAGCTATTTTAATTTTATAATTGTGACATTTTATTTCACTTATTTATTGTTTACATTTGTGCATAACCAACAAATTCCTCTATTTATTTGAGTGTAGCTATCAGTTAAGTGTGAAAAATATTTATGATCAAAAATAAGATGTAATAATTAATTGTAATGAATCAGTAGAAGCTAAAAAGAAAATACACTTTTCAGCAATTTATCACTTAATCATTTGACAGTCCTAATTGTGATACTTCATTAGCACTTCATTGTGTATTCCTTTTGGGATTTTAAATTATAGCACAGAATTAACAATGGTAGTTATTTTTATTTGTGTTACTGTTTATCTAGTATTATAAGGCCGAAATTTTATAATGTAGACCTATACCTAAAAGTTCACAGAGTGTCATTTATTAGCATAGTAATACTTTACTTTATTTCGTGCTGTGAGGCTTTTACATTTTCTTAACCAACGTACTGTATTTCTGTGATGTTAAATATAATCTAATTAAGTTAGATTTCTTCTTTCTTTACCATAGAAAGGAATGTGTTCATTCAGACTGTACAGAGTCCCTGCTGGGTAAAAAAAAAATTAAAGGAGGTGTATAGCATTCATATTCTTGCCACACCAGACTAAAAATATCAGTTTAGAATGGTGATGTCTGACATATTACAGGAACATTTGATTTTACATGAACCTTTGGTTTTATCTCTGTATTTTGATTGGCTATTAAAAGTGAATTGTTTTTATCTGGCAGTTGTACTTCAAGATCTACTGGCTTTTTTGAAGCTGGAAATGACAATATAATATCCTTTTGAAACATTGCAAGCTAAGTTGGTGTTTTTATTTCTTCTTATATAGAGATAAACAAGTGTTTGCAGAAAAATTATAAAAATGACAACCTCATGGAGCGATCGACTACAGAATGCAGCAGATCTTCCTGCAAATATGGATGGGCATGCTATGAAGAAATATCGCCGAGAAGCATATCACCGGTAAGCTGTTTATGTAATTATAAGCATTCCAGTGATGTACTATAAGAAAAAATTAAAGTTCCTAAGTCTTAAAAACTGCATACAAATATCTTCATGTGACTGTAAGCCAATTTTCATTGTTTTTAGTTCCACAATACTCTTATTTGACTTTTTCTTCACCTTTTTACTATATGTTCCTTGTTAATGTCAGTGCCCCATGTTAGTGTCAGTTGTAGAGTCAACAATCCTCTCTCCTTTGCTTTTTTACAACATATCCCTTGTTAGTGTTGTTACATCTGTTCAATCACCTTGCATTTCTTGATGTTCTAATGATTGTAGCTCTACTCAGGCATTCAAGAAAAGGGTTCATCTTAACCTGTGGAGGCTAGCCATGTGTGCCTCTATCCTAATTTTCAAGTATGGAGAGCTACGGTAAATCTCATTAGGAAAGTAGTCTTTACCTGTGGGGCCTCGCCATGCAGTTAGAAACCTGAAAAATCAGGATTCCCAATTGCGTGTACACTACATGCAGATATGCTCTCTCAGATGGAACCAGGACAGAACAAGTCGAACTAGCTTGTCATCTATGCTTGAATTTCAGAGTAAATGTTTTATTGAATGTCTGAACTCAGCTTATGGTGCCCCTCCATTTTTCCATTTCATAACTAGAATGGAAGGAACTAGGATGGACCTCTCTTTTCTCAATCTGTACAATACACATTGTGATTTTACTATTATATTTCATAGGTGCTGGGCTAAATCCTGTGATTAATCGGAGTTGAAAGTGATCCATCAAGTCAACGGGACTTGCATGATTTAACAAATTCTATTCATGTGATGGGTCTATTTTAGTTAAAAGTGACAGGACAGTTTGATTCAGCCTGTTATGACCTGCGGTTTTAATATTTATTTTACCTATGTTAGATATAAACTTGATAACTAATCTTAAGGGTATTGGTTAAGCTATTTAATTTTACCCTTAATATTAAGGGTGGTTCTCAGTTCATAAGTTATCTTCTATACAGTGGTGCCTTGACATATGAACTTGTCATAAAATTGGAAATCAATTCATTTGAGCAATAATCAAGCTCTCTCTTATCAAAAATTGACAACAAAGCAATTTTATTTATTTTATTTATTTATTTATTATTTATTTATTGGACTTATATACCGCCCCATAGCGCTACAAGCACTCTCCGGGCGGTTTACAATTTAATTATACAGGCTACACATTGCCCCCCCAGCAAGCTGGGCACTCATTTTACCGACCTCGGAAGGATGGAAGGCTGAGTCAACCTTGAGCCGGCTACCTGGGATTTGAACCCCAGGTCGTGAGCACAGTTTTAGCTGCAGTACAGCGTTTTAACCACTGCGCCACGAGGCTCAATTTTAGAATAATAAATTTTAGAATTGAATTCGGTATATTTTCCAAATATATCACATATTTCCTTAAAAATTAGTTTCCAAAATTTGTGAATCCATTTACACTCGCACCACATATGATAATACATGCCAATTTCTTCATAATATTTCCAACAGGCCTTAGAATAGTCTGAATTTATTATATTCAGTTTCACTGGAGTCATGAAGTTATGTCCCTTTTCTTCACCACTAAAATTAGTGACCAAAATAGAAAATTTCCCAGCAAACATGAAGGGTTTAGCTGATTTGTTTAAGGATAAAAAATTTGCCAGATTGAAGGATGAATAAAATGAGATCGAAGGATCAGATTATAGTTAAACTTCAAACTAATAAACTAGCATGGTATAATTATATCCAGTTAGATAGTTAGACAAATGAATGGTTGAAAACTAATGGCAAATGTAGAGAATGTACTAAGTATGAACAATTCCTATCATCACGTGAAGACATGGAGAAAGATACATTGAGGAAGGGAGTAGTAAATAGAATTTATAACCTAATTTTGGAACAAGAGGAAAAAGAGACATAAATAGAAGGTTTGAAATCAATTTGGGAACATGATTTAAAGACAGAAATTAAAACAGAGGATTGGACAAAAATTTGGAAGATGAGAGTTTTAAGATTAATGTCGGTAAGAATACTGTAAAGGAATTTTGTAAAAAAAAATTAGTTTAAGGTGGTACATTGCTCGACTTCTATGTGCATAGAAGTCAATTTTGTGGCTGCTGTCACCATCTGCAACGATCATGGAGCCAAAGAAAGTAAAATCTGTCACTGCCTCCATATCTTCCCCTTGTATTTGCCAGGAGATGATGGCCATGATCTTAGTTTTTTTGATGTTGAGCTTCAGACCATATTTTGCACTCTCCTTTTTCACCCTCATTAAGAGGTTCTTTACTTCCTCCTCACTTTCTGCCATCAGAGTGGTATCATCTGCATATCTGAGATTGTTGATATTTCTTCTGGGAATCTTAATTCCCTCTTGCGATTCATCAAGGCTGCCTTTCGCATGATGTATTCTGCATATTAATTAAATAAACAGGGAGACAATATAATTTTGAACCAGTCAGTTGTTCCATGTCCAGTTTTAACTGTCACTTCCTGTCCCACATATAGATTTCTCAGGAGATAGATAAGGTGGTCAGGCACTCCTATTTCTTTAAGAACTTGCCATTGTTGTGGTCCACACAGTCAAAGGCTTTTGTATAGTCAATGAAGCAGAAGTAGATTTTTTCTGGAACTCTCTGGCTTTCTCCATAATCCAGCATATGTTAGCAATTTGGTCTCGAGTTCCTCTGCCCCTTTGAAATCAAGGTTGCACTTCTGGGAGTTCTCAGTCCACATACTGCTGAAGCCTACCTTGTAGGATTTTGAGCAAAACCTTGCTAGTGTGTGAAATGAGTGCAGTTGTACGGTAGTTGGAGCATTCTTTGGCACTGCCCTTCTTTGGGATTGGGATTTAAACTGATCTTTTCCAATCCTCTGGCCACTGCTGAGTTTTCCAAACTTGCTGGCATATTGAGTGTAGCACCTTAGCGTCATCTTTTACGATTTTAAATAGTTCGACTAGAATACCATCACCTCCACTGGCCTTGTTGTTAGCCATGCTTTCTAAGGCCCACTTGACTTCACTCTCCAGGATGTCTGGCTCAAGCTCAGCAACCGCATTATCTGGGTTGTCCGGGACATCCAGATCTTTCTGGTATAATTCCTGTGTGTATTCTTGCCACCTCTTCTTGATGTCTTCTGCTTATGTGAGGTCCCTGCCATTTTTGTCCTTATCATGTCCATCTTTACATAAAATGTTCCTTTAATAGCTCCAGTTTTCTTGAACAGGTCTCTGGTTTTTCCCTTTCTATTCTTTTCCTCTTTTTCTTTTCAATGTTCATTTAAGAAAGCCTTCTTATCTCTCTTTGCTATTCTTTGGAAGTCTGCATTCAATTTTCTGTAACTTTCCCTATCTCCCTTGCATTTTGTTTCCCTTCCCTTCTCTGCTATTTGTAAGGCCTCATTGGACAGCCACTTTGCTTTCTTGCATTGCCTTTTCTTTGGGTTGGTTTTTTTTGCTGCCTCCTATACAATTTTACGAGCCTCCATCCAAAGTTCTTCAGGCACTCTGTCCACCAAATCGAGTTCCTTAAATCTGTTCTTCACTTCCACTATATATTCATAAGGGATTTGGTGTAGATTATATGTGACTAGCCCAGTGGTTTTACCTACTTTCTTCAGTTTAAGTTTGGGTTTTGCTATAAGAAGCTGATGATGAGAGCCACAGTCAGCTCCAGGTCTTGTTTTTGCTGACTGTATAGAGCTTCTCCATCTTTGACTGCAGAGAATATAATCAATCTGATTTTGGTATTGCCCATCTGGTGATGTCTATGTGTCGAGTCACCTCTTGTGTTGTTGGAAAAGCGTGTTTATGATTATCAGCTTGTTCTCTAGACAAAACTCTACTAGCCTGTGCCCTGCTTCATTTTGAACTCCAAGGCCAAACTTACCTGTTGTTCCTTATATCTCTTGGCTCCCTACTTTAGCATTCCAGTACCCTAGAATGAGAAGAACGTCTTTCTTTGGTGTCAGTTCTAGAAGGTGTTGTAAGTCTTCATAAAATTGTTCAATTTCAGTCTCCTCAGCAATGGTGGTTGGTGCGTAAACTTGGATTTTTGTGATGTTGAAAGGTCTGCCTTGGATTCATATTGACTCATTCTATCATTGTTGAGATTGTATCCCAGTACACTTTCTTCTTTTATGTTGAAGCTCTGCTGGTGTGAACATGTCATAAAACAAGCTGGACATGAAATTCTATTTCAAAATAATGAAGTATTGGACAACACCAGCAATCATTATGTTAGACTGCACAGGGAAGCCATTGAAATCCACAAACACCAGCAGAGCTTCAACAAAAAAGAAGAAAGTTTAAAACTGAACAAGGCCTGGCTCTCAGCTCTGAAAAACTGAGCCTGCAAAAGGTCAACTAACTCTACCCAGCCACAAGGACCAGTGGTTACTGCACACAAAAGACAAACTAACAACACCTATCAATCACAGTGATAGATCATCTCTCCCCCTTATCACAACAATACATCCACAACAAAAATCCACTGATCACCATAATCAGCCAATCTCCTGAAAAGGACAAAAGGTGTTCCCACAGCTATAAATACTCAACTATCCAACAAACTGCAACAGAGCACAGACAGCGTTCTGACTCCTGCCCTCTGAAGATGCCGGCCACAGAGACTGACAAAACGTTAGGAAGAACAACCTTCAGAACATGGCCAAAGAGCCTGAAAAACCCACAGCAACAAGCAGATCCTGGCCGTGAAAACTTTCGAGAATACAGTATTGTATCATTATCCAACTTTCTGGAACATCATAGACACTTTGGGTCCCCTTGTCCTTTAGAATACTGTGTCTCTTCCTACCAGCATTCACTTGAAAGTTCTGAAAGTTGGAAAACTCCTGGTAAATATGTTCTTCCATTCCCAATTATCTGTGCCCGTTCCTGGAGATGTCTGATTTGGCTATAGTGACACGTGCCTTAGTTACATTCTGGCTGTATTACTGTAACACGCTGTACATGAGACTGCCTTTGGAAA